ATATATATATATATGTATATACACACACACATATATACACATATACATACATATATACATATGATATGAGCAGCCCATTCACAAGCAGAACTACAAAGCATCCTTAAGTCTCAGAAAAGATGCTGAAGCTCACACTTGACGGAGAACTGCATGGCCTAGCGAATGACAAAAACCCAAACGGGCTTTCCCACCTCCTCCTTGGCAAGGCTAGGGAAATAGGGGGTGGGGAGAGACGGGAGACCAAACTCCAAGGAGGAAGGGGCTCAGGTACCATCTACCCCATCGCCCATACTCAGTGGTGTCACTTCTCAGAATCTATGCCAAAGATACGCACAACTAATGCACAAGGATTTTTACTACGCCATTATTTATGGTAACAAAAACATTGGAAACAACCCAAATGTCCATCAATAGTGACTGGTTAAATACACATCGGTCTGGCTGCAAAATGGAATAGCATGCAGCCCAAAAGGAGAGCACCCGTGTGCACGGTACGAGGGCAGCACTCCCAGGGCACAGCGGTGGGTGGGTCGGTGTCCGTTGGGAGGAAGAGCTGCCAACCCAGCTCTGCCAGGGGAAGCAGTTCTCCCTGAGAGCGCCAGGCCCCCATTCTTGACTTCCCCAGTGCGGGGTGGAGGAAGAGGGAGGGATTAGCCCGAGGCAAGTGGTTCAAGCAGACAGAAGGGAACAAAAAGAGCAGCGAGTCAGGCCTGATCAGGGCCGCATCTACCCTAAAAGAGGCGACCAGTGGACCAAGAGCTGAAGCGTAAGGCGCCGCGGCCAGCTCCTGGGTGGGGGTCCAGGTGGCATCCCAGTTGTGGTCACCCAGCCCTTCATCCTGGGCTAGGCAGGTGGGAGAGGAAAGCGCAGACTGCACGGTCCCGGGCATGTCCTCGGCAGCTAGTGGCCTTGCACTGGCCGGCCCTACTCAATGCACTCCATGACATGTATCTGCAGGGTGTCCATATCAGGGGCCTGATACTGGCACTTGGGACAGCAGAAGTCAGGTGGCTCCTCAGGGGGGCTCCTCCTCTGGCTGGGCAGGGCCAGGGGAGAGGAGAGGTAGGCTGGGAAAAGAGAAGAGTCAGAGG